TCGTGTAGATGGTTAGATATCCACTAAATGATACTTTGTAAAGACAGTTTTTTACTGTTTTGACTGGTTCAAAAGCACTTTCTTGTTGGATGAGTGTACTTGCAATCCTGAGTGTAAATGCAGAATAGTCCAGCCTGGTTCCCCATTTGGGTTGGAGCAGAAAAGTGAAAAGTTACATCTTGATCTTCGTCATCATCATCCATCTCACTTCCATTACCGCTTTGATAATCATCTTCATCTGGTGTCAAATATTTCACTGAAAATAATACTTATTAAGTAAAAATTTATCAGGAAAAAATGGGTAAAAATGGAAAGCAAACACCTCAACTAAAGATTTTAACTCAAGAAAGGCTTCTATCAGTCTTCAAATCCCCCCCCCCAGATATAACTAAAAAGTAAAACAAAATTGATTTAAAAAGTGTGTTCATAAGTGACAAACAAATTTCACAAGACAGTATGCTTAAATATTTCAGTAGACATTTTTTTTTTTTGGCTGTTTACTAACATACATATGCAAAGAAAAAGCATATTTAAAAAATAGTTTAATATTTCTATATAAATAAGAAAAAAATACTTACTTTGACGACGAGATATATTGTTTCAATTCAGAGACGCTACTAGAAATTGCAATCATGGACAAATACTGCCAACTGTTGACTAAACGAGGTTTTCTGCGTTTCAGCCTTCACAAAAAATTATGAAACTTTTGTATCACATGTGATACAAACGAACCGAGGAGGTTAAGGAAAAAGGTTGAAGTAAATGTAAATTGTAGTAATTTTAATTGAGCATAATAACCATAAATATAACTTCCTTGTTAGGTGCATATGCAGTTTCTTGTTAGATGCTTATGTAGGAAGAAAGACAACTTCCAGAAAAATACTACAGTCAAAACTTGTTAATCCGGACTCGTCGGGACTTCGGCGATTCCGGATTAAGGGTTTTTCCGGATTATAGATCATCAATTTAAATCTGGTAAGATGGCATGCAGAAATTCTAAAATTAAAAATATGAAACCGTAATTTATGAAATAAAAGAACAATTATGATCGATCTAAAGGGTATCAAAATTTACAAAAAAAAGCTTAATATTTATTTGTTTACTTTATTAAACATTTCTTTCAATGTAAGTTGTTTAAGTTGCTTCGTTTTATGTGATAATACTTTCTCTTTAATTCTATAAACAGACATAATTTCTTGTTCAGTTACAAAGTTCCGCTGTTCAAGTCCCGTAATTGCCGTGCCGAGAATACCGACTAACTTGTCAATCGAAATTTTTCGTTTTCACTAACCCTATGTCACCTTCTTCATGTCTTTATCCATTTTTTGCAGCAATTCCACTTTTTGTTTAACGGACATCAAAACATACTTTCGTTTTGTAGATCCTTTGGGAGCTCCAGCATCGAAAATTCTATTTGACATAATCGAAAGTTCAAGTTTACTTTTATAGTATTGCTCTTACAGTCTGCAAAAAATAATAATACGGATCCAATTCGAAGATTAAGGAACAACGCAATCATCAACATTACCTGAAATAGATAGTTAGCTTATACCGTCCGTTATACATAAAACGTGCACGCGAAAACGTATTCTGCACTTGCGCACATGCATATGCGCAGTCGTAAAGGTCTTAAGCGCACGCGTAAACGCCTATGCGCATGTGTCAACGCGGCGCGTGAGCAGAAAGTTTTTAGCTTTGAGGTCCGGATTATGGGTGTCCTAATTAACGACTTTTGACTGTATTATTTTATTTGTTGTAAAAATGTTATTCTAAGTACTTAAAAATATCACACATTTAAAAATGTTAGATGATCTAAAACAATGCAAGAAAAAATTTGTGTCAATTTTGGGATCAAATTCAGGGAAAAAATGAAATGCTTAAGTGGTTAACTGTTATAGTGTCACTTATCATGGTTAGTAACAAAAGGTCACATTCAAAGGTACATGTACATCGCTGCAAACTCTCCCGCTTTTACTGGAGACTTCCAATTTTTCCTCACATCTCTATGTGGATTACGGAATTTTGGGTCTTTTAACCTCTAATTTTGGCAATATTTCTCAACAGTAAGTGAAATTAATTTAATTAATGAAACATAAATTTTTCAAATTCTGTTTCCCAACCTTAGTGATTTGTTGCATAATTTTTCTTATGAAAGTTTATTTGATCTGAATTATCTTAATCTCCTGTTAACATTTGTCAAAATTTTTATGAAAATTTAGCCTATATTTAATTAGTTGAAATTTGTATTGAATTTTGTTCTACATCAGTATAGATACATTCCCAAAATATAACTAAATTCCGTTTGGCATCAGTTGTACCATCTAAATCTATCTAGTTGTTGGTGTAATCTAGTTGTTGTTATAATCTAAGTTTATTGCTGTATTACATAACCACATAATAACATGCACATTAAATTTTATTTTCATCATATTTAAAGGTATTATGTTAAATAAAAGCTCTTCTTCTCTAGTCAGATTTTCTCTATAAATGTGTAAGCAAATTTGAAATAAAAATAGCCAAAGAATATAAAATTTAAAATATTTCTATAAGCATTAATGTTTTGACATATTTTAAATAATCATAGTAGGGATAAAGTCATGTAAGTAATTCAATAATCTGAATCATGCATTATAAAGTAAATTGAAGTCAGTTTCATTTTTGTATAAATGGCATCCCAAAATAGTGCAGTTCGCAGACCTTCCGTAAAATACCATTTTTTTTTACGTGTGAAGGTTGGCATCTGTGATATTATGACAAGTTATGTAGTGCAGAACTTTCTTAACTGCAGGTATTGCTGAAACTTCTATAAACTTCCTAAAATAGTTTTAATGATCATGCATGTATCATGTGCGATTCTGAATGATTAGTAGTAGACTGTCTCTGAAACGTTATTTATTGTGAAACTGTATGGAAGATCAAATTTATTTGCATCGTCTGTATCAGAAGATGTCTGCATTCTGCTGCAGTGGAAAAGAAGTAATGTTTTGGGCTTGGACTGTGTTCTTCCAGCAGTATTTTCATCTTCTGTATAACTTTTTTAAACTACCTTTTTTTGTTAATAATTTGTAAAAAAATTCCCCTTCCATTAATAATGGAGTTCTAGATCTGAGTATTTCTACCTTATGCATATTTAGCTGTCACATTTTTACTGGGATGATAGTAGTTCACATTTTTACTGGGATGATAGTAATTTGTATACACCCAGATTTGTGGAATGTAGACCCCTGGTCCTTCTTAGCAGTTAGCGAAGGTGACTGTCATATGGATGGGCCTGGGCTTGAATCCTAGAGAAAGCATGGATGTTTTTAAGCATAGACAAGGAGCAGTCAAAATGCACAGTGAGCTGAAAGTCATCTTGAGAGGTTAGTGATAGAGAAGAGGGTGGGAGAGCCTTGGACTGTCGTTTGGGCTGTTCTTCCTCAGAATTGCTGCCTATCAGTATTTTCATTTTCTGCATAATTTTTAACTGCTTTTTTTTTTTTTTTTTTTTTTTTTTTTAAGAATTTGTTAAAAAGTTCTCCTTCCATTTATAATGAAGTTCTAGATCCAAGTATTTCTACCACATGCATATCTAGCCGACACATATTTACTGGGATGATTGTAGTTTGGATACACCAAGAATTCTGAATATCTTAGTTTCTTAAAGCCAGATTTCTGGAATGTAGAGCCAGGATCCTGATATGGAAGACAGTGAGGAGAACCTCGGTCTGTCCTTCGTGATGTACTTCCTCAAAATTTGAACCACACAGTGATTGTGGTGGGACTATGCCTGTTGACTGATGGTGAAGTTCTGGTGTTCTGCATACTTCTATCTGTGTCATTACTATCTATCTTAGATCTTGTTTTAGAACAAAATATATCATTCAAAGCTTATGTAAATAAAAAACTTTATACTGTATGAAATTCAGTAAAAGGTCAAATGTGATGTTTTGTTGAGTCATTAGGTTTGTTGAAGCTGGAAACATGCAAAATGTGCTGTGACTTAACCAGGATTCAACTCCCAATTGCTAACTAGACATGCATCTAATTACACTGTGATAGTAGTCACTAAGGAAGGAGAAAATACCTAATCATGTGAGTAAACGTAATTTGCTTAGATGAGTGTTTTATGAGTGTACACAGAGAAAGAGAAAAAATGATTCTGTAAAGTTTTGGGCTGAAGTATTCAGACTAAAAGAAAATGTAAAACAGAGGTATCCAGTTGAACACTGATAGCTTAGATGCTTTTCAGACTGTAAAAATATTATTTATTTTCATTACATATAAATATATATGAATTCCTTCTGAAGACGTTTTGGACGTTTTACCAAAATTCTTTATTTCATGAACCATTTGCTTCTTTCTAACGGTTCTTCATCTTCAGCACCTGTTTTATATGCATGTTTCAAGTTCTAATGTCATAAATAATGCTTGAAATCTTAAGTGAAAAGTCATTGTCTACACCAAAATGTCTTCCTAATCATATTGAAATTTCAAGGAGTTATTAGCAAAGAAAAATTTAAATGTATTAGTTTGTAGCAGGATGTATGATTAATTTTATGAATTTAAATTGCACCTTCCCAGGAGAAAAAAATCTAAAGTTAGCAATTATTATTATTAATTTTTTTTTTAATTTTGAGAAATGATAAACTGTATCTCTGTGTAAAAGGATGTAATGAAATGCAAATTTAATTAATGAATTTTAATAATTTGCCTTTTTTACCCTTCACTAATGAAATGTTTAAAATTATATGTGTCTGCATGTGTATGTGTTTCACATTAATGTTCTAAATTAAAAAAATTATGTTGAATTTTTTGCTCCACAATAGTTTTTAGGATTTTTAAAGGGAGTCACAGTCACCTTTGCATTTATTTTACATAACTCTTCTAATACTTATGTACAAATAACAATATACAATTAAAACTTACTTCTTAATAATAATAAACAGTGCAACTTAACTAGCAGACCTTCCTTTTTCTCTTTAATTTTCTGTAACACTTGTTCACTGTTTCCTGAACAGCCCCGTCTTCTACAATCTTCAGCTCTCAGCCTCCAACTCCTGTTCAGTCTCCTTTACCTCACTTAGCTCACTCTCCAAGTGCTTTCTCAGTTCTGGGAAGAAATGCTGTTCTTATACCTCCACCTTCTTCAAATTCTGGCAACTCCTCGCCTTCGCCTACAAGCGGGAAAATTTGCTCGCCTATCATGCATCACTCCGCTTCTGATGCTTTATCTTCTCTTGCCTCCTCCTCAGGTACATTCAGTACTGTTGACTCAGTATTTTAAATTCTTATAAAACTAAATTTCATTCTTATATATTTTCTGAGTAATAATATGGTATTTGTCAGTTTTAGTGGCTTTGGTGAGAAACGAGAATTGCCATGTTTTATAGTATTGGTAAAAATCATATGGTTATCTGTATGTAATGAATGTGTAAAAATTTTTTATTTGCAGTATTCTGTGAGAAAAAGTTTAAAAATCTCTGAAAAATTATAATCATAATTTGGGCTTCTCAAAAGCAAGGACTTTTTCAAAATTGGACCAAAATCGTTATAGGCCACTAAGAAACATGACTATTTTTTATAATGCACATATTTTAGTGCCCTAATGCCTTTTTTCCTTTTTAATGGTGAATATGTATTGGTGGCTTAAAAAGATTATGTAAATGTGTAAATCAAATTCTAGCTTTAATTTGCAATAACCGTTTAATTCTTCATTTTTATTTGACTGTTTCTCCTTTCTTTCTTAAATATAGTAACTGCTTATGCTTAAAACTCTCTTAAACTGAATCATTAACCAAAGACAATTTATCAAGTGGCTGCAGAATTTGAAAACAAAAACAGACAAACAAAAAAAAAAAAAAAAGCTATTAATTCAAAAATCATTCTGTGTTTCTTTTAATCCATTGGCAGAAGAAACGGTGATTTTTAACTTGCAAGGATGACATATGAACTGAAGAAAAATTTCAAATTCAGTGTAAAGTGCCATATTATTTTGTACCAATTTTGTTATGTTGTTGTTATGAGAGAATGGTTAAAAAACTGAATTTAGGAGTAAAAAAAAAAAAAAAAAAGTTTTGTTGAAGGGTTGTAATAATGATGCTGTATCGAAGATAAATAAAAGCTAGCCACATTTAGCATTTTATCAATATTTCAGTGTTTTTTAACTCACAGGCAAGTATCAGTAATTTTTTTATTAATTGTAAAGTTAATGCGTTAGAATTCCAAATAGCCAGGCTACTTTATATAATTGTCTTACTTGAGTTCAAATGTATTTTACTGTAATGCAAATAAAGGAACTTTATCTTTTCTTTTAAGAAAGGAATATTATTTTTTTATTGCAACAAATATTAAATAATAAATTTTTTTAAATGATTTCCAGAAAAGAAAATTAAAACTAAAGTTTGCTTCAACTTCAAGAAACTATTTTTTATTTATTTCTGCCAAAAAGTTCATGGAAATTGTCTACATTTGTGCTGTATATTTTAACTCCCTTCCCAAAACTAGTATAGGGAGGCAACTAGTGTAATATCCTCAAAGTAACAGAAAGAAACAGGTCTTTTAACTAGGCAGTACATATGATCAAAAGTATGTGGACACCGCTTGTAATAGTGGATTCTGCTAGTGACATTGAGTTTTCAGACAAGTATAAAAGAAGCCAGGCAAGTTAGTAAATATTAGTTCAAAGCAAGAAAAGTACAATGGGATTAAAACTCAATCTGAACATGGGGATTAAAACTCAAGCTTTTGAACATGGGGAAGTAATTGGCTGTCACCACTATGTAAAGTCTGTTCGTAAAATTTCTGCGATGTTAGGATTGCTTCGATGTTAGGATTTCTGCGATGTTAGGTTCTTTCTACTATATGTGATGATATTACGAAGTGGAAATGTTCATGGACTAAATTGTGCAGCAAAGATGTGGTAGATCATGTTGTCTTGTAGACAGGAACCATAAAGCACTCGCAGATGTTTGTGGAAATCAGTGAAATGAACTTGGCAGGAAAAATTTATAGGTATTCCAAGAAACCTCTGTATGGAACATCAGCGCAATGGCAGTTCATTATGAACTTTGAACTATTGGTTTTCATGGCAGAGCTGCTGTTTATAAACCAAAAGATTACTGCTACTAATGCAAAGTATCATGTGCAGTGGTGCAAACATCCACAACACTGGAATAGCATTGTGTACGTTGGAGCGATGCATCAAGGTACGGTACAAAGTCTTTAATTCGGACTCGTCGGGCGATTCCGGATTAAGGTTTTTTCCGGATTATAGATTATCAATTTAAATCTGGTAAGATGGCATTCAGAAATTATAAAATTAAAAATATGAAACCGTAATTTATGAAATATAGAGCAATTATAATCTAAAGGGTACCAAAATTACAAAAAAAAAAAAAAAAAAAAAAAAAAAAAGGCTCATATTATTGTTTACTTAGAAACATTCTTCAATGTACGTGTTAAGTTGCTTGTTTATGTGCATAATTTCTCTTTAATTCTATGAATGACTGATTCTTGCTAGTTACGTGTCCGATGTTCAAGTCCGAATGCTCGTGCGAGAATACCGATAACTGTCATAGAATTTTTCGTTTTACTGTGCATTGTATACGAGCCGTTCCATAGAATGTCCTCCACAAGGCTTCCTCCTAGGAGATAGCCTGTGTGCTTTGCCTAATTAAATAAACCAATCGTGTATCTAACCTCTCTTACTTCTATTGCCTTTATCCATTTTTTGCAGCAATGCCACTTTTTTGTTTAATGGACATCGAAACGTGCTTTCACTTTGTAGTTCCTTTGACAGCTCCAGAATTGGAAACTCTTTTTGACATCATCGAAAGTTCAAGCGTAATTTTTATAAAATTGCTCTAACAGTCTGCAAAAAAAATAATAAGCCGATCCAATTAGAAGATTAAGGAACAGCGCAATTGCAACATTATGAAATGCTAGAAATTTAGCTAGCGTTATAGTCCGTATACATTAAACGCACATGCGTAAATGCATTATGTGTTTATGCATGCACATAAAGTTTGTAGCTTTGAGGCCCGGACTATAGATCATTCCGGATTATGGACGTCCGGATTACAGACTTTGTACTGTATATGCTATGTGATTGCATATATGTTAATGGCTTACTATTTGTTGAATTCTGTGGTCAATTTACTAATTTAATACAATTCAGTTTATTACGTTTAATAGCTTTTTGAAAATTATATTTTAATATTTAAATCAATGAAAAAATAAAAATATTTAAATAAAGTAATCGCAATCTAAATTTTACTTGGCCAAGAGGAAAGAACAAGCTATCTGCATAACTGGAATTTTGCTGTATATGTTAGTAGTTGTTGCATATGCAGTTAATTTTAAAAACAAACAAGTAGTGTAGTTTCTCTGAACAGCTTATCGGTAATAATTAACTGTTGCAAGCTGTATGTATGTACCTATGTATGTTATAAATTTTTGCAGGAAGAAGTTTCCTGTGTTAATTGTTGCTGCTGAGACAAATTAACCTGAAAGATTACATTTTATTTTTCTTATGCTTTCTTTAAAAGGCTTTAACATTTTTTTAATGCATTTCATTGTCATTTCATAATTTCCAGATTACACACATAAAAAGTTTTATGGTAAAGTTTTTGGAAATCATGCTAATGAAATTTCAGAAATTTCATAACTGATAATATTTTTGAAAGCTTGGTTATTCTTATTAGCTTTTCATAAATTTTTAAATGATAGCTGTGATGTTATCAGTTTTATTAAAAACATGTTAATGTAGAATACAAATCAAAAATATAAAGTTATATTTGTGTATCATTTTATTGCTGCAAAAAATAATAAATTTTTAAGATGTGTTTGTTTTGTTTAAGATTTGAATGTTTTCACTTTTAGAAACATATTGAACACATAGTTTATAGTTTAAATGCATGCTTTTTGAATTATTTGAAAATGATGCAGTATTTGAACAAAAATTACCTTTTTTGACCTATTATCCCTGCCTTCTTGTACTATATTTTCCAAAGTTAACTATCAACATAATTTTTTAGAACAACAAATAAAATATTTATTTTTCATGACTCTTTTATTATTTTAATGCAAGTATAATTTGGTTTCCATCATTTTAGTTTGCATCGCATAAAACACATATAAGAGTCATGAGTCTGTTTGCTTCACTAACATCATAAACATTAATATTTCTACCTTCATTACAAAACTTATTCTAAATTATTAAAGCACAGTGTAAAATTTAAATAATTAAAACAAAGTTAACAAAAATAATTAAAACAAATTTTAATTATTTTTGTTTTAATTGTTTTCTTGTTTTAATTATTTTTTGCTAAATAATTAAAACAAGAGGTGTAAAATGTTGTAATGATAAATATGTTATGTCAAATAAAAGAACGAGCATGCTGCAGGTATGTGCTAGAGAGTAGGATGACAAATAATTAAATCTGATAGATTCTTTTCCATTCATAGAAACCCACTTCTACTATATGGGCCGTTTAGCAAGCCTTCTGTGCATTTCTGAAATAATTACCGTATTTGACGGCATATAAGAAGGAATTTATATGTTTTAATTTATTTATTTATTTTTTATTTGCCCTTATTTAGAAGGCCACACACAGGGAAAAAAAGTTTAAATAGTCCGTGCGATAGCGCGGTACCACAATAATTTAAAATGTGGTTACTTTTAGTTTTCACGTTTTGTAAAAGCCAAATAAACAATCATTGAATGCATTTACCAAGCATATTTTTATTAAGGAAAACTGACAAATGGCAAGCTATTTTGAACATGATATGTAAATTTCAATAATGAATAAATGAAAGACGCAACCACAACATAATACAAAATAAAGCAGAAACAACAAAAAAAACACGGATTCAAGGAAAAACGTTGCCTATCATGAAATTACAATTAATCACTTCAAAACTATAAAAATCCTTTTCACTAGCACATCATAGAAAACGAAATATCGGCATCACTAAGGTTCAGTCATTGCTAGTATACCTTCGCGGAAGAATGTGTCGTCTTCTGTTCCGTCAGCGCATTACTGATTCCGTACTTTTTAAGGACTTAACATTCATCAGCTTGACTCCTCCCAAGTCTTTTTTAACTTACTCGCCACTGGGAAATAAATAAAGGCCGTTTCATTTACTTGAGAGTTGAGGGCGTGAGTGGCTTTTATCACTGTTCATCGTTCTCGCACATTTTTCTTAAGGGCTTATCCCGATACATTAAAGGGTGCAATGGCTAGTCAGTCCCCAGGAATGACATCTATCTGGGTTTTTATCTCTCGCTTATTCTTATGGTTTCATTCTCTGGGCGCTAAACTGTCCAAACCACAGAGAGGTTTTCTAAGAGTCACCAGGTCACCTTCCCATACGTTCCGTAACCACGTTTCATTCCGCTTCATCATTCGCCTTTCGATGAACATGACAATTACACCCGTTGGAAGTTTTTTTTGGATGAGTTTTGAATTGAAAAACGGCGGTAGTTTTTGTGCCATCAGCACAACATGTTACAACACCGTATAACGGGTTTTTTTATGACCTGTGCTTTTATGGTTATTGATTTGACCTTTAACTCACGTCTTGTTGGATGGTAAATCAATGTGGGAATTTCATCTATATTCTATTTGGACCGAGCTAAGACGTTTTTCTTGCGTGATTTTTAACAAACTATAAATGCTATATTTTAAGCACCGATACCGAATCGTTTATGACAGAGTATCAACGATAATGACAAGGTTCGCTGCGTGAGAAAGCTAGTAAAAGAAGAAGGAAAGGCTCCATAGACGTAATGTGACCGTCGAACCTGTGGCTAAAAATAGCATTCAGTATTGAAAGTTAACTATGTCCTTCATATATAAGGCGCAGGTAACTTTTTTGAGACCAAATTTAGGAAAAAAAATGTGCGTCTTATATGCCGTCAAATACGGTAATAAGAGGTGTTTTGTAACAGTGGCCTGAATTTTTCCTCCTCTTATGTCAACACTATTATCTTAACACTAATGTTTAGAAATTGAGCAACTGAACATTTAATGAAAAATTTCATGTCATAAAATATTTTTCCTGTATTTGTGATGGTGACTAGAAACATTTTAACTAAACCAAAAGAGGAAAACATTATTTTGTATATCTTTCTGTTATATTTAATTTAATTTTTTTTCTGCTGCAAATCTTAAAAAAACCTTACCTCAAACAGGAGTAAATGAGTATCCAGTTTTCATATGCATGATTTGCCCAGTATATTGATCAACTCATGCATTTCTGTTTTTTGGAGGGTAGGCAGGTCGATGGGAAAAATTGCATTTTTGTGAAGTTTATGCAATTGTGTAAAATTTTTATTTGGGGGATATAAAACATTAGATAATATTATCAGTATACAATTAAATATTCCTTTCTGCTGTCTATATTTTGATTTGTGGAAAATGGGCTGGAGATATTTGGGTTTTCCGTATATTCAAAGTTATGACTTCTTAAACATATTTATAAGAAATGCTTCTTTTCACTAAAGGATAATTTATTTATTTTGGGATATTTGTTCACTTCATCCATCCTTCGAAAGATACAATAAAATCTTTCTTGACTGGATAAAGGAGTAATCTTTTCAATAAAATATTCCATTTGTACTATAAGATTTTAGTTAGATAAATTTTTTTGAAAAATTAAGCCCAAACAAGTATATATTTTCCTTTTAAATTTTGCTAAATTGCTTCCATGTTAAATGTATCTGCTGTATCAAATTATGGTATTGATTGGTTTTACCGATGACCAATGATTAATCACTATCTTTTCACCAAACAGTATTGGAAACCCAAAAGCATAACAAAGTAATAAGAATAATTTTTTTTGTGTGTCTACGAAGTCGTTCCCACTCCCACATTGAATTCTAAAGATGACAGTTTTCAATTTATGAAAAAATGAAAAGGAAGTTCCTGCATTCTTCCAAGAAAATCGTATTTTACTCTGTGCAGAATTTTGCAAAAATGGGAATAAATGGAGTTTAATGTCTCTGAAGAAGCCATATGGGAAAGTAGTTTGAAAAATTACCATAAAATGATTGGCTTTTGCATTGTCAACTGTTTCCCTGCTTCAAAAATCATATTCTTGACAGCAATAAGCTGCGTTTGCGAATTTATGGCCACTGTAATTTTTTCTTAAGTTTGAACGTCTGGAAATAAATTTGAGTCCTTTCTTTTTTTATCCCCTCTCTATTTTTTTTTAAAAAAATTTCATTAAAATTTTATTTTTTAAAAGAATTTTTTTTTTTTTTTAAATTTGCATCCAAACTCGGTAATATTTTTTTCCTTTGCAAGTAAAACTGACGATCACCCAAATTATTAATGAATTTGGATTTTAAAATATAGGATTCATCAGTAGTTAATTAATTTCATTTTAGTCTTCACTCAACCATATGCTTTTACAATATAGATGATATTTCATTATTTTACTATAATATTTTCTGGGAAAACATTGTTTGTGTTTCAAGAATGCATTAAAATTTTTAATGCTTGAACTAGCATATGAAATAGCATCATGTGGTCAAAATTTGCATCACTTTGCAGTTGGGAAAATTTTAAGATTGTTGCGCTGTATAAAAATGTGCACTGTATGTTACTGCGTGCAGGTCCCTGCAATTGGTGGTCTGCTGCATCGCCTATAGCAAGTAGTTCTGAGTTTCCTGGATGTGGAGTCCCAATTTCAGATCCATTTGGCAGGCCAGGGATCTGTGGGCGTTCAACAGTAACTCCTGCTCATCTTTCTGTACAGCAACCAACACGAAGAAGTGAGTGCTAATTTTGCTAATTAATTTTTTACACCACAAGTTTTTATTTGTTGTGATATTTAGTTTAGTTTAATTAATTTCACAGCTGCAATTGAAAATATTCTTTCTACTTTAAATATGTTATTTTAATTGATCTTATTGATAACTTAGCAGCCGAAATTCGCAAACTTAATTATCTTATCTGTAATGTGAACAGCTGATTTAACAGTGACGTATGCATTTTTTAAATTTTTCAGTGTGATAATGAATTTCAAACTGTATTTTAAAACTGTTTAAAAATACAAGGAATGCTTTTAAACAACAAAGTGTACATGATTTAAATTGGAATAAATTGCAAGCTTTCTCACATGTCATTGTCATTTACATAAATGTAAATTAAATTGTTCATTTACTTCCCATAAGATCACTTTAAAGCAAATATTTTCCTAACTTCCTAACCTGAAAGTTAGTTCTGAGATTGAAAGTCAAAAGATGCTTTCTAATGATCCAATATTGTAACTGTTAGCATAAGTCTGGAACTAGAATTTTTCCTAGGTATTTCAGAAAATTCTGTCTGCTATCTTTTATTCTTTATGCTGTATAGTGATCCATCATAATTGCAAATGAATTTCTTTGAATTTAAAAGGATCATTAATAAGCTGTGAAACAATTGTTTCTTAGGGAATGAATTAGATGCTTAATTCTCATAATTTCTGCATATTTATCAGAAATATGAACTTGTCTTCCACAAAAAATTACGATTAAAAAAACATTCATTATTACTCCTTATGCAAATGGTCAACAGCTAGTTTATCGGATCAACTAATTTTTGTGTTTAACATTGTTTATATAATGAGTTGCTGAGAAAATATTTAGGCTTGTAAATTTAAGCAGGATTTTTTTATATTTACCTATTTTTTAAATTTAATTATTCTAGTGATATATTCTTTAAAAAATGAATTAATTGATGATATCTAAGTACTAATATCAAAAATTAAATTCAACAATCTTGAAACCATGCTATGCTATGAAATAGTTTTAAACTTGTTGAATTCAATTTTTATCATATGGTGGTCGTAAGGTGGTTTGACTTTGACTATTTCTTTTCAATACCAAAACCTTATTGCAAGTGAAAGAGCTTAATATGTCATCCTTCAGCATACTTTCCTCCAGAGTCAGTAGCATTTTTCACTGTGTTCTGGAAGCATTTTAATGCCCTTTTGGTAGACCTTTATCAGTGGGCTGTGAATGTGCACTCAAGCACTGACAATGATAGCATTGTTATCCACAAACTGAATATCTTCCAAGTGGGATTTAAGGTTGAGATTCGGCATTGTAGTAATGGATCCACATTTAAATGTGGTCATTATTTATTTCCAAAATGCAACCTCTTCATCTTTAACCCATCATATGAGAGAACTGGCAGTTTGCATGTACATGACTTTGTTCTGGTCTGTGAACATGGGGGAAATCCAACTGATATATACCTTTTCATAGTCCAAATGCTTTCTTTCCATGATTTTTATATTATCAATACTGATTGAAAACATTCATGCAAGGTTTTTTATAGTGATAGGCCTTATTTTTATGATCTGTGAACATTGGGGAAATCCATCTGATATATACCTTTTCAGAGTCCAAATGCTTTCTTTCCATGATTTTTATATTATCAATACTGATTGAAAACATTCATGCAAGTTTTTTGATAGTGATAGGCCTTATTTTTATTCACATGTTGATACTATTTGGTGCGATAGGTGTTATCCCCACACTGTCATTCCTCAGTGAAGCACTAACACATGGGTTCTAGAGAAACACTGTTCTTCATATGTGCTTGGAGTCTCGTTCAGATGACAAAACATTTTCTTTAATGAGAAATTTGATTTCATTGCATTGCTCTATGCTGTGAATCAGCTGCTTTTTGATCATCACTCTCACAACTGCCAGGCTTGACCAAGCAAATTCTGATCTGCACAGGAGATAAGGTGTGGTAGTGGTTGTGCTCTCAAGAAGGGCTCTGTATATGGGTAGTGATTTGTATCAGTTCCAGTCATATTCAAATCCCATTGGACCTTATGAAAGTGTCGCATTATGCTTTTCGAGGTTACTTATGATTTTTAGTAATATGATACATCACAATCATAATTTAGTGTGAAGTACCCTTATTTTTGTGGTATTTACATATTATAGTAGAGATCCCCAGGGTTTGAGAATGTGCCAGATTCTGGCAACCATGTTCATTACAATTCTGTAGCAACCACGCACATGACAGTTTTACAACCAACATGCCATTTTGTATATGCATTCTTTTGTTATATTCTAAATTCCAATGATTTTTAAAGAAAAATTCGATATTTTTTGTTGCAAAATCAACTTAAAAATTATGCTTGTGGGACTTGCCTGCAGAAGAATAAACTGCGATAGAATTTCTTCAGGAATAAACAAATTTGGTACAATTGCTTTCAAAGGAGATTCAAAGCAGTTGTCACAAAATTTCCATCAAAATAAGTAAATAAATAAGGGAAAAAAAAAAACTATAAATAGGTTTATTGATTTTTCTTGGATAAATACCTGAAAATATGTATCTATAAATTAAATCATTTTTTACATTTATAATTCATTAATTTCTTCTATAAAAATTCACCAAACTGCATCAAGTTAGTTGCGCTACTTTATAAGTACCTTTTTGACTATGAAATAAGATAACTTAAGAATAATAAGTGTACTCTCTATTTATCTGCACCTCCCCATTTCAACTTTCAGTAGTAATGCCTAGTGCCCATTTTTGGCATTATTTCAAGTATAGATGCGATAATAAATAGCCCACGCATATGCTCACACAGGTATCCTGTAAGTCATAAAGCATACCATGTGAGGGTACTTGATAGTAAGAAAGATAGAAAAACAAATTTTAAAAAATTCTGTTTTCTGCTTCTCTTATGGAGTCAAACTCAAATCATTCAATTCGCCAGGTTCCCACTTGGAATAAATTAAGACTACTGGAAATTGTTTATTGTTAATTAGCATTTGCCAGTTAACATGCAAGTACTTGGAATACAACAGATGTTTCTGAGTACACACAAATTTACACTCTTTGTTTTTAAAAATCATTCTGCTAAGCAGTATCCACTGGCTGTAAAAATGTAAATATTGATTATATAGATTTTTGTTTTTCTCATAAAGTACTTCTTCTTATTATTTATAACAGAATATTACATGTGTGCCATAAAGGCAGCCAAGCAAATGTTTTTAATCTGTCCACAAAATAACTAATGAGTTGGCAAATTTTTGTGGGGATGTGGATAATCAGAAAGTACCATAATAAATACTTGACTTAAATAAAATAATCTGGTTGTGCTTGTATATGTGTTCTGTAAATTTTAAACTTTTATACTTCAAAAAATTGTAATTTTTTTTTTTTTTTTCCTCCCAGTCGTAGAAGAAGTTTTAGGTCATATGTATGCTAAACCTCCATCCGCAGAATCAAAGAATGAAACACAGTCCTCAGGTACATTAAAGCAAAGAAAATATGACAAAAGATTTCTAATTAGAGTTGTTGCATGAAGAGAAAATTTTGTACCCCCTTTTTTTGTTTGATTTATTATATTTTTGTGTGGTTATTTATTTATATATTATTTTGCATGCATTTTTCTGCATACGTATGGAGTCTCTTTATTTGGTGTACAGCAATACTGACTTATTGGAAAACTTAAAATTTTTATGGCTTTTTATTTTTCTTATTTTACACATCTATGCTTGTAATAAATTTGCATTTGAAATTCTTTGTAAGTTATAAAATGCAGGTAAAAACTGCCTATATATTAGAATAAACTTTAAGGCAGTAATGTGTACCAAAACATAATAATTTCTGTTAAATGCTACAAACTCCACATTCTTCTTCAGAAATTGCACTTAAGTTCTATGTTTATTGACAGTGTGCTTTTCTGTGTTTACATACATAGTACTGTTACTGTTTTGTAGTTTGGTGTAGGAAAAGCAAGGAATGGAGTTTGATATTCTCTTGCTCATTTAATAATTATGAAATTAGTTACCAGAAGAGTTTTCAAATTTTATTTACACTGAAATTGCACTATTTATTTTAATGCTTTTTTCTTTATAAGAATTATTTTTCAGAGTACCTTTAGAATAATGTATTGTTTACAATATGTTTTTAATAGTGTATTTATATATATATGAAATAAATTTTTTTATGACATAGAGGATGTTTAAGTTGATCATAAAGATGGAAGTACAGTCATTGGCAATTGGTGCAATTCTTTATTTTTGCTTAGTACTATTGAAGTAAACATATATATAATTCAACTGATGCAAGAGGCATACTTTTCAAAAACTGCAAATATTCATGTATTGGCAACAATATGTGAGGGCATTTCGAAAAGTAAAGATACAATGGCTTGCATTTCTTAAACAAAAAAAAAAAAAAAAAAAAGCAAAACATTTATTTAGAAAACGTCATTACATCTTATTAATGGATTATTTATTATTTTTTGACATAATCACACCCGTTATCCAAACATTTGTTAAGTCGGTGCACAAGCTTTTGTATCCTACAGTCATAGAAGGTTGCCACCTGTTAGAACCCAGCACTCACACAATTTCCTGTACCCTAACTTGATGGTCACAACTTCATAAAGAGTTGTCATTGACACTTCCAGTATGATCTGATGCAATTCTTTCAATTTGAGACGTCTATTCGCATGAGTTGCTTCCTCTGTTCTCTGAAGAAGGGCATCAGAGATCACAGATGGCCGACCTGTTCTTTGTTCGTCATGAACATCGGTGCTACCTTCAGAGAAATGACAACACCATTTCATTACATTTTGTCAATTCATAATGTTCCCATAAACAGAAACAATTTCTTTGTGAATATCCGCTGGTCACTGAACTTTTGCATGAAGAAAACATATGACGGAGCACACTTCGCATTTGGCGGGATTTTGAATCGGCGCAGCCATTTTAAACACGACCTACTCCAACCAGAATCAACGTTCCGAACGACCGCGAGGAGAAAGCTAACGGTTCAAGGTTTACACCTGTGTTATCAACTTGCTCAACAAAACTTTTCTTTTCCTCTGGCGTACGGTGTATCTTTACTTTTCGAAATGCCCTCGTAATTAAGCAGCTTAATGTAGTAGTAATTTGAGTGTTAAGAGGATAAAAGAAGAGCAAGGTGTATTGATATTAGATTAAGAATGGTGAATTTAATTTATCTAACTTTGATTAAATTTGTAATAGACCCTAAAGTCATCCTTTAAATTTGATTATTTCTTATTTCTATCCGAAAAACAGCTAAATGCTTATAATAAATCTTTCAGATGTGTATCATTTCAAAATTAATCCCCATTATACAATTCTTATGTAAAACAAAAACACATGCATTTATGGCAAATGGGAGAGTAAAATCTTTATCTAATAATGTATGACCTTCCAGAGTATAAGAGCCTCCTACATTTTAGTGTCGATTTTAAGAATAAAATTATAGATAAATATTTGCTGAGAGCATAGTTCTGTTTAGAATTCATTTTACTAAACACAGATAATTTAAGTTGATAACACAGGTTTAGAATTCATCTGTGTTGGAATGACAAGAAAAGCTACTTAATAGAATATTTTAGTATAGAAAGAAACATTAGCAAAATTTAGTGACACATTGTTATTTAAAATAAGGCAAAACAACAACCTTATGTTAAGCATAGATTTTAGTCAAGTAACTATTGAGTTCTAGTGCAAGCAGGTACGTGTTCCTCTTCACCGTCATCTGCAAAAATTAATTTCATGTTTCTCTTCTGTCCTTGATTTTATTACTGATTTTGAGGCATACTAATTAGCATAATGGATGTATACCCAAAACTGAAATTCCTGAGCTAGATATGACTGTTGTAATTAGTAGTAGTTATGTGGTTTATGTGCCCAGTAATTACCTGTGTGGTTTATTTAGCTTACTAGCTGCTTCGTGCCCAGTTGTCTAAAATAGAAAGCTAGAAAATTTTGCCTAGAAAGGCAAAATATATAATGATTTTAATGAGCTCACAGGTCACTCACTACCTATCAGCTCATTAAAATCATTACACCCTGTATATTAACCAGCCATGATTGTTCTTGAATCTGTATATATCAACTTCAATGTCATTCACTGTGAGACCCAAAAATTTATCTTTTGTGTACAAAAAACATAATATGATGTTTCATTTTGTAGCAGTTTTTGATTTTTTCCCACTAAACTTGTAATAATTTGAGTATCATAATTTGAATAATTAATATAAAAAATCTTATTTTGCGTCTTTAACTGTTTTTTTTGGGGGGAGGGGGATTGGGTAATTGTTATAACATGAAATAATGTGCTTATGTTCTTTGTAGCATTTTTTATGGCATGAACTAATTTAATGTATTTCTTTAATTATAAATTTGGCATCATTTATGTCTTGTCATATTCATTTTTTTAGTTTATCATTTTTATTATTTTATATGTCCCTTTATATATGTTCAGTAAAATTCTAAATCATACAATAATTATGTACGATAATGTAGTTTTTCATATTTTGTTCATTTAGTCTGTTTGTATTTTTATTTTATCCTTTTTTGTTTGTATATGGATGGGAGCATATTTAAAAAAAGTGTATTAATGTTTTTTCTTTCTAAAATTATTCTCTTAAATAAGTGATAAAATGGTGATCAGTGACAAGTGCTTAAAAATATCTTGAAAATATATTCTTTTTTACTTAGTTGTATTTTATGATAAAATTATTGTTATTTACTGCTTTCTGTTTGACTTTCTTTTAAGATTTCTGGGAAAAAAGGAACGAAAGCATTTCTTAAATTTTTCATTTTAATGCTCTCTCCTGAGATAGAATTAGAATGAAAGATTTAATTCTTTCTCCTGGGTTGTAGTTTATTCTTAATCTTTAATTTAAATTCATTTAATATGTTTAAGCATTTGTTATTAGTATGTATTACTAGTCCTTTGAAGATGCTGGACATTGTTGTAATGGGTTTGATATTTGTTACAGGAAGGAGAGATTAAAGATCATGTTTTTGCATAAAATATGCAAGATTTATTTTTTTTAGATTATTATTATTATTACAGCTGTAATCTTTTTTCATTTCATGAATAATTTTATGTATGACTGGAAATCCAGTGTTAATTGCCTTCTGTCTCATAAGTATTTGTATCATTAACATCGGTTAACTTTTTTCATATGGCCGACACATTTTCTAGACTGTAGCTAACAAATGTCATCCTTTGTGTGTGAGAAAACTCCAATCTTTTCAAAATTCTTAAAACCGACTAAATATAGTGGCACAAAACGGAGCTGTATTTCCATGTGCTAATAATTGTAGATGTTGAGAGCATTACTGATTTAGCCCTACTTTAAAATTGTAGATAATGCTGTCTTGTTCCATTTTTATTTTTTTAAAATATCTATTCTAAGATAGACAAATTGTAATTGTTGCCACAAATTATAATATTTGTACACAGAAGAGTTCATATTTACACATCTGACAAATAATTTTCTTTTAGTGCATATTGATTGTCCATCTCAAAAATTTCAAAGTTACCTAGTCCTCTTAAGATGTATTAATACTAAATGTGAATATGATTCATTAAAAATTTTGGCCACCTTTAGTAAATGTTTTCTATTCCAAATAGGATCTTGATCCAAGGGTTGAAAATTGTTGTACTAAATCAGTCAGAGTTTAAAAATTTTTTGGTTGCAAAAAAGATTTTATTAAGTAACTGCTTTGGCACTTTTTTATCATAGATCTCCAATCGATGATATATTAACTTTTGAATATAACCCGAGAGTGTGTTTTTCCAAAATTCAAAATCTATATGCCAGCCGAAATGGGAGGGGTTGGATTTTTTAAACATGTTGCCATGAGGTTGAAAATGTTGCCAAGTAGGTAAAATTGTAAGGATCTTAAGTTTTACTAACATTTATTTTATTTTAAATCTTTACTATCACTTCTTATTTTCTACTTCCGGCCAGAATTAAAAGCTTTAACTTATTTATGCAAATTTCTTGGCGAACGCCAAGTACTTAAGTTGTGGCTTTTTGCCAAGCAAGAGACAGGAAGGAGTGATTAGGAGCAGGCCGCTTGCCATAGCAGTTTTACTCGGTTGCTGGTTGCCTTCAAGGCCAGAGGTTTAATCCTCTTGATAATTTTAAACGTATTGTAGTGTTAACAGTTCTCTGTACTACATACGGCCTTTCTGTTAATATACGGCCAATCTTCAAGTAGGCACTTGTTTATTAATCCAAAGTTAGTTTAGTTAGAGTTTAGTTAATATTTTTATATTCTTACGTTCAGACTACAAGTGGTTGGTCTCTGTATTCCAAAGTCCGGAAATCATTGTAAAGAGAGAAAAATAAAGGGTTTTCTTATACCCTTCCTGTGTATCTTGTCTACTTCCCACATTTATTGAACATAGCTTTAGTAAGCTCCCTGTTCCGAGTCAGGTCATTTAATGTTCCCAAAGAAAGTAAGGAGGAACATAGAACCTGATAAAATGAGTAAAATCTTTTCCAATCAAGTTGCTGTAAAGTAAAATCTCCAGACACTAACAATGGTTGTTTAATTCTGGTAACTCTTTGCTGAAGCTAACACATTTATTCCATTCATTAATTGTCTTGTAAACAGTCTGTGGTATCTCTACTAGTCTTATTTTATGTGAATTCCCTCCCCTCTGTGTTTATCTGAAAGATAAGCTGGAAGAAAAATTCTTATATGGCAAATTTCAAACATTAGATGATTTTATTTGCTAAAAATAATAACAGTATGGTTGCTCTGCGTTTCTTCATGAATGAGAAACAAGTTTGAGATTTCTCTAAAAGATTTATTGTTTTGAAGATTATGCAACTAACCAGCATTATAAACAATTTCAATAATAATATAACACATTTTCAAAAAATGGCTATCTTATTTCATGTAAAATTAATTCTTTTATAAACTAAAGAAATAAAAAAGTGTGATATTTAGAGCGATTTATTGCTCATGTTCAGTTAAGAGAAAAGTACTTATGTTTTTTGCGAATTAGTGGACCCTTCCTCATATAAGCAGATTTCCCATAATTTAGCTTTAGAAAAAAGTTCCAAAAATTCTCAGATTATACACAGAAATATATGTTATTCTCTTTTTTAATTCATTTTTATGCTCATCCTTTTTTTTTTTTTATTCAATTTGCCTTCCATTTAGGTAATGTATGAGTTTAAAAATTGAAATGTTTTTACAGTAGTCTCTACATCTGTATTTGTTCTTAGTAAGATTTATTATTAGCCTTGAGATCTGAGCCCGTTATATAACATCTTATTATAAAATGAGGTATGCAGTTTCAATGTGTACTGTTTTATGGAATGAGTCTGACTGGCCACTTAAAACAGGCAACCCAGACATCCATATTTTGGAAAAACTTAAGAAAAACAAATGGTGAATTCAACAACTTGATGATTGGAGAGGGAGAAATTTGTATTAAATTTGATAAATAAATTCATAATACTATGAGTTTTTTATGCTGCCACAGTGTATACATATATATCATAAAAATATTTTACCTTATTTATTGCAGGTATACCTAGTCCCCAAACACTCTGCAAAACAAATGCATTGCCTAATTTAGTTGGTGTTTCCGCAAAGAAAATAACAAAGGTGAAAATTTCTGAGAAGGAAACTAATCATGCAAAATCTAGGTAAGCCTTTGTTAAACAAAAAATAATAATATTCGATTTCTAATCTTTGAAATCTTTTTGCAAAAATTATCATCTAGTGTCAAAAGGTTTAAAATTATGTTAGCGAATCTTATCTAAACATTTATCTTAGGACTCTTATAATTAAATTCTGAGTGCAATCTTTTTAATGCTTAAGAAGTAACTTTTTAATGTTTAATGTATATTTAAGAGCTTTTGAAGGAATCTCTTGAAATTTTTAATTTGGAACTAAAGTCAAATACAGTCAAAAGTCGTTAATTCGGACACCCATAATTCGGAATGATCTATAATCCGGACCTCAAAACTAAAAACTTTCTGCACATGCGCATAGGCATTTAAGCGTGCACATAAGACCTTTTACGACTGCGCATATGAGTGTGCGCAAGTGCAGAATACGTTTTCGCGTGCGCGTTTTATATATAATGGACGTATAAGCTAAAATTATCTAATTATCTATTTCAGTTAATGTTGATGATTGCATTGTTCCTTAATTTTCAAATTGGATCCGGCTTATTATTTTTTGCATGACTGTAAGAGCAATTTTATAAAAGTAAGCTTAAACTTTCGATTATATGAAATAGAATTTCCGATATATATTTGTTAATATGTAAAGGATCTAAAGCGAATGTATGTTTTGAAATCCGAAATCTGTTTATCAATTTCACGCTGCTCGGCGGGGGGAACGCCGCGGCGGGCGCGTAATGAATTGGAAGTTGATCTGTCAGCACTATCCTTATCTTCAGCGCAGATGTTTTTATTTTATTTGGCTTATAATTCCTTACCAAATGTAGTATTTCATCTCGATATGCTCCGTCATTGATATGATTTAAAACAAGTTCCTCGTCATTATAATTGGCTTAAGTGACAGAGGTTATTGAACACGAAAAAATTTCGATTGACAAATTAGTCGGTGTTCTCCACACACCAATTATAGGACTTGAACAGCGGAACTTTGTAACTGAACAAGAAATTATGTCTGTTTAATAGAATTAAAGAGAAAGTATTATCACATGAACGAAGCAAAACTTAAACAACTTACATTGAAAGAAATGTTTAATAAAGTAAACAAATAAAATTAAGCTTTTTCTTTTTGCAAATTTTGATACCCTTTAGATCATAATTGTTCTTTATTTCATAAATTACGGTTTCATATTTTTAATTTTAGAATTTCTGCATGCCATCTTACGAGATTTAAACTGATGATCTATAATCCGGAAAAATCGATAATCCGGAATCGCCGAAGTCCCGATGAGTCCAGATTAACAACTTTTGACTTTATATTAATGCAGCTGCTTTGTAGAAGGTTTCCAAAATTTTAAGAATATACCAAAATGTGGGAGCCATGTGTGTTAACAATTCTTAAGTCTTATGCACATTTTCTACTGTAATGGATTGATTGTCTGCTACGTACAAAACCCAAAATAGGGGAGGAAAACTGCTGTAATATATATATAAAAAAAAAAGTTATTTTTTGATACTGTGCTTATTTTATAAAAATGTGACTTTTCATGTATTTTTTATATTAAAGTTAGAAAAGCCAAATAAATGAAAGAAGAAATTTTCGGTTTAAATTTATAAAAAACAGTTATCATATTTGGAGGATCAAAGTTTAGGAAATGTTGATTAATATCAAAACTTGAATTAATTTTTTATATTCATAAACTAAAAACAAATGCTTAACATCTAAGTAAAAGGTGGACCACTTTTGCATCCGCCCTTCCCTGTCATCTGAAACTATGAAATTTCCCTCCGATTGAGAACCTTTGTCTTATCTGATTATGAAATCTCATTGAGCATGAAAGTTGGCAGAGATTCCATCGAACTTGTACCAGTCATTTCAGTAGGAGTTTGAACGAACTGATTGCTCTTTAGTTAGATGCTCAAAAGCTACAAGTTATGGATATAAAAATAGATAGAATTTAAAAACTTAAAATGCTTGTCATAATTTTACAAGATACAAGTTATGGATATAAAAATACATAGCATTTAAAAGCGTAAAATGCTTGTCATAATTTTTCATGTTGCATCACCATTATTTATCTGTATTCAATATTATTTATCTGTTTGTTATTTATCAGACAGTTTTATAAATAGATAAATCTATAACCTTAAAGCTGCATATTGTGCCTGTTAACACATACATTTCTTGATGCCAGAGTTCTTGTATTTTTGTAATTACTCCACTAAATGCTGTTACATTAAGGGCAAGTTCCATATTTTAATAATGCAAGGGAAAAACAGATAAATAGCAGTTAAGTTATATCCTTCTTAACAAAAACTAAACTGGCTTATCAAGAATTAATCAAGGTTACATAAAATCAAGTTGAACAGCTTTTGATTGTATTGTGATATCGTGGTCACTATTTACTAGTGCAAAATCACACTAATTTGGAGACAGCTTTGTTTAATCTGAATTGTAGTCCTATACACACAATCTCTCATTTGTTCAATTTTTTGTTAAAAAAAAGTTAAAATATTAAAAAATATTCTGATTAGTTGAATGTGGATAGCTAGGTTTTAACTGTATTAATTATTGTCAAATCGTAAATGAAACGTCATCACATATGAATTTGTAATTACAGTTGTTAATTTTTTCTTCATTTTCTTTTACTTTGTATTTAGGAATCACTAAGAAACATTTCTTGATTTAATGTTTTAAGTAATATTCTACGTGTTGGCCAGTTTGACTAGCATGCAAAATTTTTAACCATGTATTTTGCTGTTAAATTATAATTTCAGGTTATTGAATCCATTCAGTTTCTTTTTAAAAAATTTTAAGACAATGTATAGATTGTTTCTGTCATTCTTCATAAATTATTTTCAGGTTTTGTTATTGAAACCTGCAAGTATTAAATGAGTAATTATGTGTCTCTATTTTTCAGCGAAAAATCTAAAGCTGCTACAAATAGCATCTCTTCCTCGTTATCAGGAGTTTCTACTGTCTCAGGGAATCCAATGGCAAAATCGACCTCAAAAAAATCTACAGAAGCTGTAAATGAACAAATTGTTAGGTTTTTACCAGCACCAGAAAAACCTCCTACTAAACGTAAAAGTAAACCAAAAAGCTCTAAACCAGATGCTGCCAAAAATGGAAAGAAGGTTAAAGCAGAAAAGAAACAAGTCAAACGACCTAAAGAGGTAGCGTATTTGAAACTATTATTTTATATGAAGTTGCAAAAATAACACAAATTTCTGAGTCATTATCACTTGATTCATTAATGAGTAATGAAAATAATACATCTTCACCACATGGCTATTTTATCTAAATAAAAAATTAATTTTATGATCTCAAAAACTTTGATTTTTTTTGGGGGGGGCAGGGATGCTGTAAAAGAAGGACCTTAATAGCCTTCGATATTGATAGAATTTGATTTAAAATGTATGACAAACTGTATTATTAGTTTTTTTTTTAAATTTTAAATTTTATATTGCAAATCATTTCATAGTTGTGGATTCAAAAATTAGTTAATATAATTATAAATCATAAATAATGATATTTGCTTTGAGACAATAAAGTATAGATATTTTATGTTTTGATTCTTTGAATTATTAACAATTGGAATTTTTTATTTTACATTGGAGTTTTATAATGTATCTTATACAGTCAAAAGTCGTTAATACGGACTCGTCGGAACTTCGGCGATTCCGGATTAACGATTTTTCCGGATTATAGATCATCAGTTTAAATCTGGTAAGATGGCATGCAGAAATTATAAAATTAAAAATATGAAACCGTAATTTATGAAATAAAGAGCAATTATGATCTAAAGGATATCAAAATTTACAAAAGAAAAGCTTAATATTTATTTGTTTACTTTATTAAACATTTCTTTCAACGCGCGCATGCATAAACCTTACATTAGGCATAGTCAAATTAGAAAATTCCAACCAGAAAACTATTTGACGTATATTCGTGATATTTATAATGACGAGGAATTTGATTTAAATCAAAGATGGAGTACATCGATATGAAATGCTACATTTAGTAAGGAATTATAAGCCAAATAAAATAAAAACATCTATTCTAAAGATAAGGATAGTGCTGACAGATCAACTTCCAATTCATTGCCCCCCCCCCCCCCCCCCCACAGAGCAGCGTGAAATTGATAAACAGATTTTTCGAAATGGTTAGAGAAACAAAGGATATGCCTTTATCCATTTTTTCCAGCAATTCCACTTTTTGTTTAATGGACTTCGAAACATACTTTCGCTTTGTAGATCCTTTACATATTAGTAAATATATATCGGAAATTCTATTTGACATAATCGAAAGTTCAAGCTTACTTTTATAAAATTGCTCTAACAGTCTGCAAAAAATAATAAGCCGGACCCAATTCGAAGATTAAGGAACAACGCAATCTGCAACATAAACTGAATTAGATAATTTTAGCTTAGCTTATACTGTCCGTCATACATTAAACGCGCGCGCACACGCATATTCGTAGACGTAAATGTGTTACGCGCATGGGTAAACATCTATGCGCATGCATCAACGCCACACATGCGCAGAAAGTTTGTAGCTTTGAGGTCCGGATTATAGATCATTCCGGATTATGGGTGTCCGAATTAACGACTTTTGACTGTATTGGAATTTCATTGACATCCTATATTAGGTGCATCTTGCTATTTTTGATATTTATATCCAAAGTTGTAGTTGGTTTGTTGATTTTCTTTTACTTACTTTTACCATTTATAATTTAAAATTTCTTTTCATAGAAGTCAAATGCCTGAGGTAATTTATATTTGTAGAATTATTTTTATTGTTAATTATAAAGCATTTGGATTACTACAAAAAACTCGTTCATTTTATGAAAATCAGTTGTTTTCCTAATTCAAGGCTATTTGCAATCTGAATAAAGCCAGAATTCTGGATTTTTAATCTTTTCAAATCTGGAGTTTCTAGATTTGTTTAATGTGAGAAACTAATTATGTTTCTCAAAATTTCTTTTAAAAAATGTGCATACAAAGATTACATGAATTTAAAACTTTAAAACTGTTGACAGAAACTGAAATTACTTGAACCCATTGTTTACATATCATTATATTCAGTCAGTCAGAGAAGAAGTTTTTCTCGTACAGAAAAGTTATTTTTTACTGTTTGCCTTGTAGAGAAATGAAAAATAAACTGCTGAATTTTTGGGCTGTAGTGTTCAGGCTAAAAGAAGATGGAAAGTCGGGAATACCCAATATTTCAACTGGAATACCAACGTTCTTGAACATTTATAGCACATATATTGCACAAATTCTGAAATATTATTTATTCTCATTGCACAAAGTACATGCTTTTGAGTTAGAAAATGCATCTGAAGATTCATTTGGTAAAAATTTTAGGGATATTTTTAGGAATAACTGGACAGCTCACCAATATGTCTTACATTCTATGAACCATTCTCTTCTTTTCAGCAGTTCCTCATTTCCAGTACTTAAGAAACATACTTCAAGCTCCATTCTGACATTTAAAGGGTTAAAAGCCAAAATGTCTTGCTGATCATACTGAACTTTCAGTTATAAAGAAAGTAGCAATGCTGCTTCCTTCCCTTAGAGGGGGGGGAAAGAAGAAAGAAAGAAAGAAAGAAAGCTAAACCATAGCTAATTGTATGAAAAGTTGTAAATCAAATTCATTTTCAATAAATTCAAAAAATTATATTTTGCTGCTGTAATTCGATTGTTTGAAAATATATGTATGTGTTATCTCATTAATAGTCTGCTTTATTTGAAATTTTGTCAGATTTTTCCTTCACAGTAGTTTTTAAGATTTGTGAAATCAGATTGTAAACACCCCTGTTAATTATTTCAGGCTGAATAATTAGGAAAGCAACTGATACTTCTGCTATAGTTTAAATAATATATTGTTTGAGTATGGCATCAGTCACATTATATAAATTTGATTGTTTTAAGAAAAAAAAAAAAAATTACAGTGTGCTTTAATTGTGTATGAATTTGCACTTGCACATGAGAAAAGTGTAGACAACAGTTTCCACTCCCAATTTATGCTGTTACCTGTCTAGGATAAATAATAGCTTCAACTATTCTGCAGTGTTTTTGATGCAAATCTTGGTGGAAAGTATTTTAATATTTTTCAATATTATTTATCTCTTGACGTAAAGAGATGATGCTGGTAAGAGATATATAATAATTTTCAAGTTTTTGCATATTGCAATATAAAAAACTGGATTAGTATTGCAATATAATTCAAAGCTGCTAACTCTCCTACTTCTCGTGTATATTTGGAAAGTGCAAAAATGTATATCATAATTCTATAAAAGTATTTAATGTTTTTAATTAGCATGGTCTAGCATGAATTAAATTCATTTTGGTTTAACTGAATCAGACTGAAAAATAAACTAATAATATTAAGAACTGCATCTATGGCAGTTCATTCAATAATAGACAGATTAAATTTGAAAAATAAATATTTTCTTTTTTTCCCCCTTCAAATAACAAGACCTGAACAAAAAGTGAAACAATGCAAAATCATTTTTTGAGACTAATAACCATTTTGGGATTAAAAGGGAAAGGAGGAAAAAGAAGAAATTTTCAGCCTCTTTTAACATGTATAATAATAAGTACATGCACTGTTTTGCTGTTTTTATGATTTGTATTGAATTGTTATACATATGAGTATCTGTTTCAATAGTTTTTGTCCCCTTTACTTATTCTGATATTTTTACTTTCAGAAAAAATCTAAGAAGTCCAGTGAAAGGTTCTCTGGTTCCGAGAGTGAAAGCCACATGGATTCGAGCTGTAGTAGCTCGGGTGCCGAAAGCTCCGGCGCTGCGAGCTCCAGTTCTAGTGATTCTAGCGACGATGAAGAACGAGAGAAGCAGCAGAAACAGCTAGCAAGATTGAAAAAACAGCAACAGGAACTCAGACGAAAAGTGCAGGAATTGAAGCAGGCATCTCACGATAGTGTGCATCAAAAGCCTGAAGCACATGTAAGTGTTGAATGAATACTATATGTATTTGTAGAAGATAAAACATGAAACCAATGTTATGCTGTAAACTGATGCTTAAGGAATAAAAATCTCACAAAACTAAATGTTTATCCTCTGTGGCTTTTCCTGTCTTATTTACAAATCAAATTATAGCTGCAACATTGAGTTAATGTGTTGTATATACATGCAGTTGCTGCAGATTGTGCTTTAATTGGCCAACTGTGCAGATATTTTCTAGCCACATCATATGACTTTAGCATTATTGTTACAAAGCAAGTGCTCTGTGTGTGTTTTGAATTTAAGTGAAAGCTGAATTCTGGCTTTGTGTAGACAGTCAAATGACTTATCATTCTGTCCAGATAAGTTGCTTCAGACGCAGTAAAAATTAACCCCATTTTTTAGCATTTGTTATTTGGTAATTAAAAAGGGGTAACAAACATATCAGTGAATTGCTGTTATTTGGTAAAGGCGTAACAAACTATATAGCTCATGCAATACAAAATATGTCTCGCCATTTCTTGTGAAATTTAACAAAGCAGAAGATTCAAAGTAAAATTTAAGCAATTAAAGTATTCAGTTCACTTATCCAAGTTCCACTGTGAGCTTTGGCTCACACTCTTTAATCACACAAGCAAAATATGGCTAGCGGAGGCTAAAGTTGGTTCAGGTAAAGCTAAGAGCTGGTCAGATATGGATCAAAGAAGGTCATTGGTAACTGCAGAATGTTCTCCCTTAACTTCTAGAACTCTGCGCTTAGATATGGTAACTTTTATTCTTTTGGGAGCTTCCAAAAGTAGAAAAGATGTTAAAGATAAAAATAATAAGGTAGCGGCATAATGAAAAAATAAAAGCTAACAAAATTTTCTATGTGGAAGTAGGGCCATAATTACTCCCAGCTCCCCCGAAGTGAGGAGAATTTTTTTTTTAAATTCAATATTTCATTGTAAAACTCTGGAAAATTAAACTTGATTAACAATATTTAATTTTCATTTTTTAAGCAGAATTGCTGATAATCACAGTTCAGTTTCGTTGAGTTTTTCCTGATGTATGCACAGCATGTTTCATAAACTTAATGGTTCCTGTGAATATCGCTAATGCTGCACGATCGTTTTTAAAACTGAAATTAATATAAAAAAAATATTTGCAAAAAATTCTAAAAATTTAAATACTTAATACATTCTAAAAAAATTAACCTTGATAAAATAATTAATGAGTTTTCTTTCGTAACAGTTAGAAAATAGAGATTTTTGTAATCCAAGTGTACTGAATAATTTGCTAGTAAAACATTTTATGTTAATTATATCGCATATATATCATAATATGCACTGTAGGACATCAAATAGCTTCGGATATCATTTTCTAATTGACTTAATAGGATTAAACAGGAATCAAAAGTAGCATATAATCACATACATCAAGGAGACATTTATCAAAAGTATTTTTGTTTGCTTATATTAGTGATATAGAGTATTAATAAAGTGATAATTTATAACTAAAAAAAAGTGGTTAAGGTTTAAGAAACAGTGAATAATAAAGAGGTTAAAGTTAAGAGAAACGAGAGGTTAGGGTGGTTAAGAAATAATAAAGAGGGGGCTACATTATCATCATCTGTTGCCCTGCCCCCCCAAAGTCTAGTTAGATCATGTGGGGAAAGTATTCTAAATACACTTAAATCATTAGTAAGGTAAAAGAAATCAGAAGATTGATATAAATTCCAAACTGAAATGTGGAATCAAATAATGATGTACTTAAGAATCGGAGAATATATAAAATTAAAATTAAGGGACATTAAGAGCAGAAAAGTATCCTTAAAAATAAAAGGAAAGGGGTTGATAATAATTTGCCTTATTTTATTAGCATAAATATGATACATTTGGTATTAAAAATCAAATTTATTAAGTAATAAAACAACAATGGTTTTACGAATAAAAATTCAATCTTGGTTCCCTAAATATATGTATGCATGGGCATAAGTAATGATAAGTAATTAATTATACAGTACAAAGTCTTTAATCCGGAACTCAAAGCTACAAACTTTTTGTGCATGCATAGCGTTTACGCACATTTAATGTATAACAGATGGCATAAGCTAGGCTAAAATTATCTAATTATCTATTTCAATTAATGTTGCAGATTGCATTGTTTCTTAATCTTCTAATTGGGTCCGGCTTATTATTTTTTTGCAGACTGTTAGAGCAATTCTATAAAAAGTAAGCTTGAACTTTCGATTATGTCAAAAAGAGTTTCCGATTCTGCAGCTGCCGAAGGATCTACAAAGCGAAAGCATGTTTCGATGTCTAGCAAACAAAAAGTGGAATTGCTGCAAAAAAATGGATAAAGGCATGAAGAAAGTGACAGAGAGGTTAGTGAAAACGAAAAAAATTGCGATTGACAAGTTAGTCGGTATTCTCAGCACAGCAATTACAGGACTTGAACAGCAGAACTATGTAACTGAATAAGAAATTATGTCTGTTTATAGAATTAAAGAGAAAGTATTAGCACATAAAATGAAGCAACTTAAACAACTTAGCATTGAAAGAAATGTTTAATAAAGTAAACAAATAAATATTAAGTATTTTTTGTAAATTTTGATATCCTTTAGATCATAATTGCTCTTTATTTCACAAATTACGGTTTCATATTTTTAATTTTATAATTTCTGCATGCCATTTTGCCAGATTTAAATTGATGATCTATAATCCAGAAAAACCCCTAATCCGGAACCGCCGAAGTCCCGACGATTCCGGATTAAAGACTTTGTACTGTAATATTTAAGTAATCAAAATGATGTTAAGAATCAAGTAGTTTGCCAAAGATTTACTTTGCAAAGAGGCATTAAGGATATGCTTACATAGATGTAAAAGAAAATATGTGTAATTAACTTTACAGTGAAAGAAATTTAAAATTGTTGTGTTACGAGAGAATTTGGGAGAAGTACATGGATATGAAGTGTATCTTCTCTGGAAAAATTGCCAGATTTAATGGCTCTTTTTCATTAGTGCTTCTGCTTTAGAGCATTTTGATTTAAAAAAAAAAAAATTTTTTTTTCTTTAATTTAAAAGAGCTAAAACTACAGAAATCTTAAAAATTGGGTTGTGTTAAAATCGCATGTAAGATGTAAGTTTAGCATTTCTATTGATAATGTTTAGCATTCTATTGTTTAAGTTTAGCATTTCTATTGATAATAATAGACATAATTTATTTCAATTTATCTTCTTATATTATCTGAAATGGTACCTAAACATGTTAGCTACTGGCTTGTGTTTGGTTTTGCTTTTTGTGATCTTTGATATTGTTATCTAGGATATACCTAGTGTGTACAGCCTTTTAAAGTTTTGAAACAGTTTAAATCTGATGGATTTTGGCATCACTTTTGTCAGTTTCCTAAAACCATGCAAGATAAACTGTATCAACCCTCTGAGCATTATGACCGGGTTTATCCGGTTATCAGAAGTAACTTGGTATATATTAGCTTATAATTTATGGTAATTTGCTTTCTTACTTTCTTAAATATCATCTTGATGAATGTAAGTTTATGAAAACTATGCAGACTAAAATAAGTAATTATACAAACTAAATTAATAAGTGCTGTTTAGTACTGGTCTTCATGACAGATCTAAAATCCTGTGCTACTCAGAGGGTTAAAAAATAACTTATTAACGCTTGCTACTTGCTAATATATATATATATAGAGAGAGAGAGCATGTAATCAGCATTCTTCACCAATTCCATATTTTAATTATAGAAAATTTTTGACATCAGAATTTGCACAAATAAATCTTCTTTACAAATAGATGAGTAATTTCACTTTAAAATTCCTTATATTATCAATATCAGTGAATTGCTGTTATTTGGTAATTAAAAAGGTGTAAAGATTTTTAAAATATTAAACTATGGATTGTCATAAAGTTCATATTGATTTTTTTCATATATTGTGAATAAAATAATAAAAATTACCCAGTTTCTGCTGAAAATAGTTGAATTCCATACAATAATTTTCCAGAGTTTCTCAGGAATGCTGATACTGATTAGAGCAGTGGTTCTCCCCCCTGTTCAGAACCCCTGGATTAGAGGACCAGAAAAGCTTAACTATTGTAACTATTCGTTTATTCGAGCTTGAGAACTGGGCTAGTTAGCTCAAGTTTGTCATAGGTACAATGCTAAAAGCACATCTTTAAAGTAAAATCCTTTTACAAGAGCAGGTTTGTGTCTACTGTAGTAGAGAGAGAGAGGTCTTTACAGTGATTTCAGAAGCCTTTGAAATGACTTTCTCTTCAGCCAGCATTGCATTTCTTAAGTCTTCTATGCTGAAAGATAGATGACCCTTAATTCAGGGACCAAGTTGAAATCACAAGATTTTAGGCCATGCAAATTATAATGATTCTAGTGAGGGGGATATTTTATTTTAAAAATGTATGCAAACCAGAAATGGCCTGTGTTGTTTTATTAACAAAATTTATGACTTGGCTTTCCAAAATTAAAATTCAAGACTATTATTTCTTTTGATGTCAAGAACACCTGTAGTATAACTTTGTATTTACTGCAAAAAGAATTTGTTGACTTTTTTGTAGCTGATGCTTGACTTGTTCTTCAACTTCTGTGGATTTCACTAGAATTTAATTACCACAAATGTATTTCAGCCACCCAGGTGATATAGTGGTTAAGAGAGCTGTCTACTGTGGTACCAAACGGCCTGAGTTCGAATCTCAGAGAGGGCATGATTGTAATTATTTGTCCCTTCAAAGGAGGCAGTGATGGCTGCCTATTAGATGCCTGCACAATAAAATGGCCACCATTTCTGGCCTTAGACGTGCCCTACCCTGAATAGGCAAGAGCCTGCCATTGGATTAACAAACCAAATAATAATAATAATAAAAATATGTTTCAGCATTTCATAATATGCGCAGGAGTTTTTCTAGACATAAAATACCTACATTAATCCATGGCTATCAGTGCATGCCATGTTTCACACATTGCCAAACAAAACATCTGTCTTATAA